GCTCTAGATCTTCTGCAGTTGCATTGATATCAGGACAACATATCATGTCAATCGCCGTTTTTGCAAATATCGGTCAACAAAAGAAGTGAAACTTCGTCGGATAAAAAAATTTAAATATTTTCCCGTAAGGTATTGAAAAATAATAATTTGGTGTAGATAAATAAATGAATAAACCGCTACTAAATATCACTGTGGTTATTCTAGACGCCTTCAATGAAACAACGTCTGCAGAGTACCGGTATCTGCTCATCCAGTATCAGTATGAATCTTGTCACTTTTCACGTTTAAAGAACTTTGTAAGGATAACTCAGAAATTAATTATTTTAAAAAGTTAAACTTGTCCTCATCATCTCTAATGATGTCAATTTTATCGACGAAACTATGAATTCTGCTAAATATTGACAATTAAAAGATATTATCTATTTTATTGAAGTAGACTGTTTTGCATTACGTCACATATCCTTTTTTGCCATATGTGCTCAAAGTAAATATTACGCAAGCTTTATGTTTCTTTTTTTCTATTATAGTCTGTTGCACGTGCAACAAATCTGGGAAAAGGAGAAATTACCAATCTGCGGTTAAAGTAGGTTTTGGCGTAATGCAAAAGGCACACTTCACTGGAAATGATAATAATTAGCCTCAGTCGTAGGAATTTGTAGCCGTTTTGTTTACCAAGAAACAATGTCTGTGAAGTACAAAAAATGGTTTGAAAAAGATTACAGAGTGGATCAAAGATTTCTTTTTTTTTCTGAGTATCATTTAAAGTCTCAGAGATTTGACTGGAAATGAACGCATCCCTTCGATGTTATGACCCAATAGTCTTATAAAGCGACTGTTTTTATTAGTATTTTAATAAATATGTGTGTCTTCCTTCTATTTTATGCCTGAATGCTGAAAAAGCTTCAGAAGTCGATAGACAGTGCTATTCTTTAAACATGTGCAAGGACAATAAGGTTACACGTAAGAGTATATGCAACAAAAAGTCTCAGTTGCACTTATTACTTCCAGGTTTTTTTTTTATTTTTCTTTTTATGCCCCTGTAATCGAAGATTCGGCGCTCTATAGTTTTTGCCCTGGCTGTCCATCTGTCTGTCTGTTTGTCCGTCTGTCTGTGCGCAAACATATCTTTTTAGTTGGCCGGTATGTCTATAGCTTTCCTATTTCACAGGTGTATTCTATGTGACAAGACCTGTCTTTGGGTATTATCTTCCACTTTAAAAATATTTTTAAAAGACTAATTTTACTTTAACATTTTACACTGGAGGATGCTTCGTGGTAAGTTTTGGCAACCACATGCAGAAAATACCCGTTATACGGGTAAACCATTTCGGAAGAAAATTTACTTGCATATAACACATTTTAATTAGGGCCGGTACACACGTTAAGGCTTGCCTTATAAGTAAAAAAACTTACGTTTTGCAGGACGTAAGGCTCTCATGCCCACACGCTAAGGCAAGACTTACAATATTATAAACAACATTTACATAAAATCAATGTGTTTTCAAACCATAAACATCGTGCGTTATTAAAAGGAATAATAGATTGCTAGCTAGGACTTTGAAATTGTTTTACCTTAACAAAGAAGAGGAGGTTAACTGAAGTTTTTGCGGATTTTTCATTATCTTTTTTGAAAATACTTTGTGTTTTCTTCAATATACCAACGTGTATGGTTTTATAAAAATAGATTGAACTTTGGATAAATGGTTTTCATTGGTTAAGAAAAAATGTCAGCTAAGTCTTGTATTAAGAAATAGAGCAGTGTTCTATTCCAATGTCAGACTTGTAAGGCTCCAAAAACATGTATTAAGGGTGTACACACGGTAAGGCTAGAACTTAAGTTACAAGACTTATAAGGCAAACCTTACCGTGTGTACCGGCCCTAAGATATTACCTAATAAGCAACTAGACAATTGAAGCAATAATCACAAGAAATATGGGTTATGTAGCTAGTGATAATAGTTTCTAACTATTTTTATATGTCATTGTGGGTATCCAATCATTATTTTAGTACTTGCAGTAAAGAAAAAAAACCACATGATCTAAAAGAATTCCAGCTAATAAACACCTTTAAATCTTTATATTCAATAATACACTGTTTCAAAAATTTATTTGTAAATTTTATGGAGAAAAAATTAAGATATTTCTTTTTTCAACTTTTGGTTACGGACACTACACACTTTACAAGTTATTTACAATAGGATGAAACTTAACCATAAATAGAGGAATTTCAACAAGATTTTCTTAAATATAACACCATTTGGAAAAAATAATGACATGCTATTTGACTTAAATCCTTGGATGTCAATAGCATCTGCCAATATCAAGGTGATGTAACACCAAGGATCTTGCAAATGAAAATGGTGCAATCTGGGTTTCCCAAATTAGTTGCAATATCAAAATGAGGGAGAAAAATAAAGTACATTGACTAACTTGTTAAACAAACTTCTGACCCTTGTGAATATATTTGCATTAGTGTTTTAACACTGCCTGTTTCAAACTGCCTCAAATCCAGGTTACGGACACTACAGGGTTTTGTAGTGTCCGTAACCACATTTGTAATGATAACAGACAAACAGTGGTGATGATCAGGAAAATTACAACACATCTCAGCATCTATATGAGAAGCCTATCTAGGAAATTAGTTAAGATATTTATAGAGCTTTCCAATTTCACAGCATGAAAGTGGTTACGGACACTACAGTGTTTTGTAAAAACTTAATTTTCTACATTAAAACATGATAAAATTTCATTTCAGTTGTTACATTGACCCAACTTTTTTCTGTAAGTAACAGAGCATTAATACGGTGATTTTAGACAGAAATCTGAGAAAATAAATGATATGGACATTATTTTTATTTGGCATAATGAGAGATGGTGAAATTATGTTAAAAATGTATAACATTGCACCCCTATTACATTTTCTTTCATATCTTCACAAGTTGTTAGTCAATCCTGAAAATTCAAGCACCAAAATAATTTGTAAAATAAATTCTAAAGTCTGATAATGATCATTGGCATAAAAATTTATGATATATAACAATTATTTCAATTGAAAAATGGTGTAATTTCAAAGTGCAACCGCATAACGCTAAAAAAGGTCATTTTTGGAGTATATTTATTGCATATACTTTAATTCTGTTAAGGCTATATCAACAAAATTTTGCATACAAGTCCTTTATAAGTATGCCTATAAATGAATTATGATAAATTACATGTAAAGAAATTAACATTTCTAAAACAGGTCTGGACGATTTCTAAATAAGGAAGTCAAGAACGATAACTGTGAATTGCTATTAATACACGGAATAAACAAGGCAATAATTCTTCTGACCAATCAGATAACAGCATTTAGATAAACCCATGAGAAAATAAATTAAACACGTGTTTAAACAAGTTTTTTGCTCAAAAGATTTTTTTAAAACAAACTTTTTGTAAACTTTATGCGCATTTGGGAATATTATATTATTTATGACAATTCTACCGTGAACAAACACGACTTGAAAGCTTAGAATACGTTTAAAGAGGGATAAAAAATCTGTCTTTAGGAGGTAGAAATCACAAAAGTTTAACTTACGTGAAACATTTGATATAAATACGGTAAATTTTCAGTTTTTAGATTCTGACATAAAAATCTTATCGAAAAGATATCAGTCTTAAGTTTATCATTTTTGAATGTTTATTACAGAATAGTCCATGCAGTTTCTGATATGCGAGGTAAGATATTGGGATAAAACGCATTCATGTGTAATTACAGGATTCTCTTTTCTCCACGTTATACGCCTTTCCTTATGCCCATTTAAAGTCTGCATTTCCGGCACTCATGAAACCCGTGATAATTTAAAACTATATGTGTATAGTCCATACGATAAACACCTGTGTGAGTTGATCTATACACTTTGAATTTAAGCATTATCGATGAAAATCGGACGGATAAGCAAAATTATATTTACCATCATATAATATATTCTGGTAAAGGTTATAATTGAATTTGATAAAAAATTGTTGGTGCGATCTATACCTCTGTAAACGATTACATTCTATCGTGCATTTTTTTTTCTTTACCAAGATAAAAATGTCAAGGTTGTTCACGGTAAAAATGTGGGGAATACCTTATTCTTCAAAAGTTTTCATCTTACTTCTGCAGATTTTTTGTTAAAAAAATCTTTTTGAGGAAAAAAACAAAAACACGTGTTGTCCTTTTCTTCTTTTAAAATGTGTTTTGAGGTGTGTGAAAATGCAGTTGTCTGATTGGACAGAAAAATAATTACGTGTACTTGATGTACATTTATAGCAACTTTCGGTTATCGTTCTTGACTTCCATATTTAGAAATCGTCCAGAGCTGTACAAAGCATGTATAACAACGTAGTATTCTTAATGCGCCCTATATTGTGTTTCAACCGAAGATATAGAAAATTATACCTTAATTATACACTCCATATTAATTCTCTTTTCAGCCACACCTATGAATTAAAAAAAAATCTATCAGAAAAATGTTCTTGACATACAATTTTACATTTGAAAAGTCATGTTTTACCATCAAACACGTATTGCGTGCTGAAAAGAATGTGATCTAATTAATACTTAGATGTTCGCTTATGTTTTGGCTATTTTAACTGTCATTAATTACCTATCATATAGTTTGTCTGTGTAATTATGCAACTACTGTAAATCACTTTATATTCGCAAGAACTTTATCTTCGCGTAGTTAAGCGAGACAGTTTGCTCGCGAAATTTAATTCTGGCACATAATAGTATTCCTAAGGATTATATAGAGCAATTACCACAATTCGTTAAGTTTTTGTCTGGCTCTAACTTGTTGCGAAAATTTAGTGATTTACAGTAATTACCTGATACAGAGTAACCTGTCAGATTACGTCTTCTCTCTCTGTGTATCTGTATACACATATTCTGCTATGTAACGATCCTACCGAAAGAAAATGAGTTTTGTCATCATAACTCAAGCTCCATGGTGTGTATACTACCTGTTCCCCTGTCAATATCAGTGACAAAAAGTGACTATCATTGTCAATAATCTGTACGAGTTGGTGTAAACATCACGAACCAAAATGTGTGACATTATGTCTGTACAGATTCCTAATGGTATCAGTCCTGATCCTGATGGAGGTCCTGTGTAGGAAAACCGATGTCTACCACCACGCTCTGTCACCACTACACGGTCAACATCAGTTATAGAATTATTCATAGAATATTAGGTACTAATAAGAACCTATATATCTGTCAAAAATCAAAAATTCACCACTTTGTTCAATATGTAATTTAGAACCAGAATCAATCAAGCATTTATTTTTCTGCTGTCCACAAGTTTCTGTGATTTGGTTAGCATTGTCAGATTGGATATTTCAAAAGTCTGGTACAAGAATTGTATTTGATGTCAAAACTGTTATTTTTGGTAATTTGGAAGAAAATCATATGGCAATTAATTTGATTATCCTACTAGTGAAGAAATACTTATTTCAACAATCAAGAAAGAACAATAATATTGTTTTTAATGAAATCTTAAAATATTTAAATAATTACTATTGTTTAGAAGAAAAATTGTCAGGAAATATATTTTACAAAAATAGATGGTCCAAGTGGAAATGTCTTTTTAATGTGTCTAATAGTAACTCTTAGAATAATTACTGATTGAATATGCGTTGCATATTGCGTAAGTTTATGTTTATGTATATTATACGTATATTGAAGTGTATCTATCCTTATGTATGTGTGTATTTGTATTTTTCCAACAGGTATAAGAGTGGCAGAGAGAGGTGTATATGTCTTGCAATTATTTAAATAAAAAAAAAAAATAATAATAATAAAATAAATTGCTTCTGTTTGTCAATAGTGATGCAATGATCTAAATACGAAGTATAAAAATACCTCTGGGTATTACGTAACGGAAGTAAACATGCTAAGTGTATAATTATAATTGACAATTGTGCCTCTTTAAAATTGTGAATTTCATGGCTTTTGATACAGATTCCTTTTGCCTTCAGTTTTGGTCTTAATGGAGGACCTACGTAGGAGAACCGATGTCTACCTCCATGATTTGTCACAATTACACGGTCAATATCAGACACAATAACATCTCCATTACGGTTCTCTGTGATACATCCAGGTCTGCGATACAGTCTGTTGTACACTGTCTGTATGGGCTGTTCCGTGTCGTTATACCTTGTTACCATGGTTATTTCTATAGGATCATCTCTATATATTTTACCGTGACAGATCTAACATGGGGCTAGACAACAATGTATGTACATGAGATCATTTTTTGAATTTTTCTCCTACAGTCTCTACGATTTGCACTTCATTTAATAACATTATTACATCGTCCATGTTGATTTCTTTAGTCAAGGAGAGCAAGATATGTTGTGAAAGAGTTGGAATACCCTTTATCTTAAAGACAAGGGTTTTCTTCAGAAATAAGAGAAATTTTACTGGCATTTTTCCTAATTGTTCAAATCTATGTTCATAGTTCCCTATGCTTGCAAGGTGTCTGTTCATTTTTTTATTTTGTTGATTTAATCTGTACATCATAAAAGATTTCTGCTGGGTTTTAAAATCACATATCATGGTGTCAATAAGGCTCTTTAGTCTCTGGGATTTCATCAACATATCTGAGTGCTTGCCAGAGACTATAACAGGACACGTTTTTATCTCAAATTTGATTTCTGCCAGAAGAAAGCAGCTCTTATAGAGAATATCACTTCTAATGTTATGAATGATTTCTCTCTTCTGTTGACGGTTTGTTTTATACAAGGACCTGAATTTGATATCCATTCTGCTGTGTTTTCTGTGTTCTTTACATTGAAAACATACAGGAAGTTCACATGATTTACAGAACATTTCGTATATTTTATCTGGGTGTCTCACACAGGTCTCTTGTTTTGGGATATATTCATACTTCTCGCGGTAAATCACAACGTCATGGTAGATGGTATTTAAATCAATAACATGTCTATCTTTACACTGTAGACACAGGCCATTTTTACACGTGTTACAGTAGAATTCTGTGTCCCCCTGACATAAAAAACACTGTCGTACTTTACACTGGGTGCTGAATCCTAGCACGTCCATAATATTGATGGTCTATATACTATAGTACATTTAAGAACACAATCTGCTGAAATATAAAAAAGAAATTACACACAGTTTTTTTCAGGACGAACGCCTCTTAAAAAAAGAAATAATATTAACAAAATATTACACATGTACATGTAAATATTTATTACCTTATATCGATCACAGCATGGATATAGAAGAAAATGAAATAAGCGCCATGCAGTCACCATGGTCACCTATCAAGCGTTATGATATGTTTTGGAACAGATTTTATTGAGGTTTACATGTACTATATATTATTTATTAGGATTATCAATTTTATATGAAAATACACACATCTCACCTATCTGCCTCAACTCTTCAAAAAGCTTGCCGTTTTCAGAGCTGTTGACATTTATTTGTTTACAACGGGGCGTTCGATATTAATTAAAGCGCTCGTATTCAGGCTCTTTTGTGATATGACTGTACTTGTACACGTACATTTAATTCAAACTAAGCGTTCAATAAAACGCCAAGATACTGAACGCTAATGTTCTTCAGACTTGAGGGGTTGGATCCAGTAATCAAAAATATTGAGAGTTTTTGTCAAGTATATTATTTTTTGAGAATCTGCACTAAAATAAAAAAAAAATTGGGATCAGTGTGCTTTTTTTAGTACATAGCAATAAGTATGACCTTAATTACTTCTTTACTATAATAACTTCTTAAAAATACGAGGGTTTATTTAGAATAATATAACTGTGTCTCAGGACAATCATTCACCACAGTTTCGTTAAAACGGATCCGTAGGATATTTATCATTTTAACGATAGAACGTTCTTGATCTATCGAGGGTTGTCTGTGAAGTTCGTGGACTACATTTGATAATTACGGATAAACATCAGTGGCAGATCCAGGAATTTTTTTTAAAGGGGGGGGGGGGGCGACCAGTTCGAGGTCAGGATAGGGGCCCCCAGCCACACCAAAAAAAAACAAACAAACATTGATTTATCAAATATTATGTATTTTTGGGACTGAAAAGGGGGCTACCCCCTCTAAATCCGCCAGTGATAAATATATCAAAATATTATTTTAATTGAATCATTGTTTCATTTGATACACATTTCACAAAATGGCACAAAATAGTTTTATTGTTATCAGATATGAAAAAAAAAAATAGAAATGATGTACCTTACCCCACGTCAAATGCTCAATACATGTTAATTTTCTCAACACAGTCACCGTTTAACTCATTATATTCTTATGTCGGTTTATAAAACCAGTCATCAAAAATGTGTACAATCAATCCAGATTTTATACGTAATACAGTGTATAATATTTAGCACTTCCTGTCTCAGATCCTGCAAATCATCAAACCTTTGTTCGCGTAAAAACGATTTATTTACAGAAATACGGCAAAGTCGACGTCATGGAGCAAAATTCATTTTTGAAACACTACAATCTCGGAGTGATGGTCTTATTACACGCATTTTATCCTGTAAACTTATCCTCCCGTCCGAAAAATTTATATTCCACTTAAGGACGTTCGATCCTGAGATTTTGAGTGGATTTCGGTCGTGTCCTTTATCTATAAAATTCTTTATCATTTTTAAGTTCTAACATTAAATCTGAATTCTACAATGCAAATTGAACTATAATTAATGAAAAACCGCGATTAAATTCTATTCAAGTAGAATTAAGCAGAGGACTATATATTTTGTGGCGGAAGGATTTTTAGACGATCAGTTAGATGATCAGTTTTTCCCCATTTGAACTATTACAGTACTTTTAATTTTGGATTCCTATTTTTCCATGCTGGTTGCACACAAAGCTGTTTTTTGCTGTGAAATGTGTTATGCTGGTTCTGAATATCTATTAAATAATTTCTTATGAATTCTTTCAACAAAGTTTGACAAATATAGTAAATATATTCTGAAAATCCGTGGAAAAATTGAGTCAATTTTAACGTAAAATTCACACTTGTTTTAGTAATATCTGAAAATTTACATCATATACCCCCACTTTTGATGTTATTTTCTAAATATTCAAGATAACTTTGACCTATTTGCTTAAAATCAGAGAAAGTTTAAGACTTTAAAATAACTTTCTTGCTTACAAAATTTTCAATGCCAGAAAAATCATTTTATTAGTGCAGAAAGGTCAAATAATTGATTATGCGAAGAATTTGAAACTTTTTCTAAGTAACAATTTTAAAGTGTCTTTTTTTAAAAAAACAGATTCAGAGTTCATTGTGTTTCATGCATTAATTGGATAAAAATATTGGAGAGAAAACGTCCACGATGTAATTTTTAATTAGACACAAATTTCAGTGCAAAAAGGTCATATTAAATGTACTGTAGCGCCAAAGGAAGCGTATTGACCCCCATTTTTTGATTTGAATTTTAATCAAGCTATGTATGTAGAAACTAAAAATATACTTGGCAAAAAAAGTTTAAGACTTTAAATATCAGGATCGAACGTCGTTAAATACGAAAACGGCATTTACAGCATTCATATCCGTCTCTTTTGGTGTTTTCCGATGTCAGAATTCTATCACTGCTCTCTATCTGCTCCAATGTCCCCTTTTCGAACAATGCTGATCCTGTCTGAATAAATTCTTTACATAATTTCTCAGCCATTTCTATACTCTGAAGTTATTTGACCTTTCTGTACTCAAAATGTTATTCTGGAGTTAAAATTTCAAAAAGCGATAAAATCATTAAAACATTATCTTATACATGTATATGTAGAAAATGAAATACAAAGTGGGGTTTGTGATGTTAAATTTTAGATACTCAGTATTACTATAATAACTAAAGATAGTCTTAATTCAAGCTTAAATGAGGCCCTTTTTTCAGGCTTTTCAGTATATATTTGGTTTATGTGCCAAATATGACGATGAAATTAATGACAGGTAATTTAATTAATATAAAATGTAAGACCACCATTGAATTATCATTTTGAAAGATGCAGTCTCATAACTGCAATGGTGTGAGCAAACAAATTGAGTAACACACAAAGTAAATGTATATATTTATAACGCGCGTTACTCAATTTGTTTGCAGTTATGAGACTCCATATTTCAAAAATGTTAATTCCATGCTTATATTTACATTTTGTATCCCCTGTATTTTGCCGTTATTTTAATTTTTTTATCATATATCCCCGCCTTATCCTTCATGTAAGTTGCAATTGTTAGAACAGCCTTTGGAACAGCTTTTTCCGGAAAGGAAAATAGTGCATAATGATAACAGATAACAATAATCAAAGTTTTATTTATTTTTTCAATCTAAAATAATAAACTATATTTTCGCAACAAATAAATACAAATGGATCGAATAACACATAAATTTTTCGCTCTGTTTAAACAGTAAAGGCGTAGTTCCTGTATTCATACGGCAGACAAACTTACATTGATTAGGTCTTGTGTGTTATGTGTATATTCATCACTTAATTGTAATTTTATAATACTTTTCATTAGGGTCAAACAAAGTAAATGTAAATATATTAGTATTAATTGACAAATTACATTTTCTAGACGATAATCACTCGTGTGTTCCGTTGTAACAGAAATAAGAAATATAAGCCCCGAAATATATACACATGACTGTAAAAAGAATCCATTAGAAAACCATCTTCGCTAGCCAAGGGTTTCTGATACGACACTCTCCTCGAAGATGCTAGAAAAACAACAAGTAAAATATATACATAAATCATTTTTTTTTTAATTTTTCCTTTACTTCACGATTTATCAATATTGTATGAATCATATTTTAAAATCATTTTATCTCTATTCAATTTCCATTTATGACTATTTCAAAGTTATATGTTCTGCAGATTGGATACACTATTTTAAGTTTAATTTATCAATCCGTTCTTGTTCTTCATGCATATGATATAATATATTATCATTTTGATTTTAATCTATATAAAGACCCATCTGTTTTGTAGATATGTCTCAAGAAAAATTTAGGTTACATATATACTAGTAGTGGCCTTTACACGTTTTGACTATATATTCTTGGATTTATCATAAATAATTGTGATCAGTTCTTGAGAGGCCATTAAAGAAATTATTAAGATTCCCGACCGTCAGATTCTGTGAGAGCAAGAAAACATGATTCCGTGCATTCACACGGAAACTCAGACCTCGAGGGAAAATTGGATTGGTAGGGTAGATAAATTTGTGATTTATTGAGCATAAACTATCACAATATATCAGTTTCTGTAGGACTTACTGGAGTAAATTAACCAGATATCGGCAGTAAAAATTATATATACTCTTCATTGCAGCACGGAGGATTGGGCTGCTCTATACATATAAGTAGAGATTGTTCTATCTGACGTATCCGTATCCGTATCGAAATATGAAAGGCATCTCGATCCCGATGTCTCAACTATCTAATACAATTTCCGTCTCTGTTTGTGGTTAAATAAGCCACAGTCATGCATTGGAAAATAGCAAATGACAATTTTTCTGTTAAAAATACTAAACTGCTGTAAACCTCTATCATTTCGTAGAAAAATATTTATTAAAAAAAAGAAAATGAATTCAAATATAAAATATTTTATTTTAATTATTTTGTTTTAAAATTAAAATCATTTTGTTTCAAAATTTTTGTAGGAAATCCCCTTTCTCTTTTTCCTCTCGCTTAATATCAGGATATTTTATTGATATATTCTGTATTTTTCATATACCTTTACACGGTATAACAGATACCCCCCCCCACACACACACACACTGAAATACAAAAAACGTTATCATCAACGCGATTGATAAAACACTTTAGCCGTTTTTAAAGAGACTTTTCAAACTGATTTCATAATTCGCCTCAGGACCGTTAAAAGTATTGAGTATATGCATTGGAGAGCCTGTTCAACTCCCTCCTTTCCTCTCCCCTCACATTGGCGTCAGAAGCAAATTGAAAGTAGGTAGAGGGGGGCTAATTGAAAGAGAAAAAATATAAGCCCTGAAAAATCCTGACATGCAAAAAAAAAGTACTTAAACACTATTTTGTGTGTGTGTGGGGGGGGGG